GAGTATAATGCCCATATTAGGAGCATCACAAAGAAGCTTTATAAGGATTAAGAAGATGTTTAACTGATCTTAATACCAAGAGTAATTGCTAAGGCAAAGTTAGGCAAATGTCAAAATTCATGACAAAGTAGAAGGAGTTAGGCAATCAACTACACAATCTTCCTTGAGAAAAACTAACATATTTAGCCTCTCATCTTTTTTTGGTTATTTTTTATCACCTTCAATCACCAAACCTTTTGTTTGGTCTCACAATTGCCTATGATATGATGTGCATATTTTTATTATGCTGATAAATACTTCAATCTAACATAATTTCATGTCATAGGAGAAGCTGAGTGAGAGCTATTATTATCCGGGTTTATATCTTTTGTCTCGTATTTTTAGTAAACATAGTACTGAGGGTTATGTATTACGAGTAGTACTATTATATACGTAGTATGATGTACAAGTATAAATTACTATCATTTGGTACCAATTTTGGAATTCGTTGATAAATTGTGCACATCGTTTGCTATAAATAAATGTCTAATATTTTTACTTTAGCCTTTTATTCATATTATAGGGTTATGTTTTATGTTATTCATGCTTTAATTACTTTTTGCGTAGTTTCTAATGCATACATTTAGGTTTATATATCTTTGAACGAGCATTATATTATATATACAAATTAAACTAAGTTGATATTTTGACGCTACATATAGAGACATATATATACAATGCCTGCAGGATCGCACACATAGTTTCTTATTTCTTATACAATTATATATTGAAATAGTATTAGATACATGCATTTTACGTACTTAGGATTTAAAGATATTGAATAAGATCATCATAAAGAATCGGAGGGAGAACTATATTTCCTTAATAGATGTAAGACCATTTTCAATGGTGAGACTCATTGGAGTTTTTTTAGAGAGAAAGAGAGAGTATTCTAAACTTAGATACTCCAAAAGAAAGTTACTAAGTTTAGATACTCAACTTTGAGTCTAAATTGACAAAAAAAGTGGACCCTTATCAATTTTATATTGATTTATTTATTTATTTAACTTTTAATGTTTTTGTAAAAACGTAAAATTGTTTATTTAATTGGATGTAGTGGACCATATTAGAAAATGACATTAGTATATATACGTAAGAAAGTCTCACCATTGGGAAATTATATATTACATGAGGTTCTAAATTGAGAAGTGAGTTGGGTATCACTATTGGCTGTGAAAAACAACTCATTTTATATTTTAATAGACAAAGTTGAGTCTCATCATTGAAGATGGTCTAATACCTGAAAGACTGTAAAAATGACATTGAAATGAAAAAACTATGAAAATGATAGTGAAATGAATGGATATTTAGTTATTAAGCTAGCTAGATATTTAGAGAAATTAGAAGTAAGGTGGCACCGGTACTGCAAATATACAATAGTTGTTACATTTAATTAAGTTGAACAATGTAAAAATTAATCGATCTAAAAGACTTGTCAATTTAAAGTAAACGATGAGAGTGAGGGATAGTTTAGGTGGTTATTAGACTCTTCTTCTGATTCTAAGTGATCTTGAGTTTGATTTTCATCACTTGCCCTTTTGGCAAAAGTATAATTCAGAGCTAAATTTTACAATAAAGTATATTTGGAAAAAACTCAAAAAGAAAAGAATAATTTAGGAGATCAATTTTTCTCACTAAAATGGAAAAAGAATTACTGAAAGAATTGAAGACAATTGATGTATTAACAAAGAGATGGTTAGTAGATCTTATTATGAATCAGTATGTATAGCTTCTTTTATTCCTTGATAAGGAATATGTGTGGAATCCTTCAATTCTCCTCATATCCTCCAAATCCTATGACCACTCTCAACGGTGAGCAAAAAAAAATGTCCACCCACTTTCTCTCTTAACAAATCTGTTTTGTCCATGGGCAAATTTTTTTCACAATTTCTCTCCCAATGGTGAGCAAAAAAAATGCTTGCCCACTATTCTCTCTCTCTTACTTTTTCAATACCCTACCATTACTTTCTCTCTCCTACACAACACTTCTTTATTTATTAATTTCATTTATATTTTAACAATATTACTCCAAATAAATAAAAACTAGTCTAAATTTGTGTAACTTATTTTTTTTATTTGTGTCGTTTTTATCGTTAAAATAAAGAATATAGAGGATTTATGGTATTTCTGAAATTATACCAAAATATACCAAAATGCATGTCTATTTATAGAGAATTAAATTTTATGATTGTTGGTAATTTTAATTTTTTTTTAATAAATATTTATTTCAGAATTTGCATTACAAAAAATATAACCATTGCAAATTGTGGGGCCCACCAGAGCACTATTCATCTTAAAAAATGCTCAAATCTTGGGCATTTTCAGAAATGCTCATGAGCATTTTTTGGCTTTTTCTCATCTGCTCACCATTGTAATGCATGAGCAAATTTTATGCCCACCCAAAATGCCCATGAGCAAATTTTTAGCTCACTATTAGTAGTGCTCTAACATAAATGGTTACGTTGTAAGATTATGCCAATGGAAAAAGACTTTATCTTGTGCCACATCATGTCACACTAATATATTTTGAGATAAACACAATATTAAACTCAAAGCTCACCCTTCCAAAAAGTGAGAACTGAGAAGTAATCCCTAACAAAATAGAAATACTTATTAAAATCTCATAATCACAATATTATGACTCGCTTGGGGTGGCGTCGAAGTGCTTTGAAGGTGTACAATCGTACAAACCCTATATGTCTTTGATCCGACCCTACCTTAATTTAAAATTAAACTTAATTGTATCATCTATATATGTACATTATTCATCAGATTGGGGAAGAATAATAAAGGGAACAACAAAACATAAGCATTAAGAAAGCATCTAATGGCTAGGGATGTGCCCAAAATAAAATAAAATAATAGTACATCTAATCTAATCCATGATTTAAAAATACAACAGAAGACTATAATAATAGTGGCCGTAGATTATAATATAAAATGCATGGTAAGGTCATTAATCATGGGTTAAGTAATAAAATATAAAGTGTAGTACCTAAACAAAACAATACAAACCAAATAAAATAAAATTAAAAAAAAAAAAAAAAAAAAAAAAAACCAAATAAAGAACTACTAAGCTAAAAGTATGTTTTTTACGCTAAAAGTTTTACAGTAATTAATACGGAGTAAAATATAATTAGCTCGTGGGAGTAAGCTATCTAGTATTGGCTTGAAACAATTAAGCATCTAATTAATTATATTAAACAAATTAGCACTCTCAAAGTCAGAGAGTTGCAGAAATCAGAAGAGGAGGAGTGCATGATCCCAAAACTTCTTTCAAATAATTGATGTCCCAAATATAAGTGTGCCAGACCCTACGTACTCGCCTCTTATTTTTTTTATTTTTTTTTGAGAAAGTACTCGCCTTCTTATTTGCTGATTTGTTATAGACTTTATTACTATAATTATTTTCAATTTATTCTAAGATTTTGACTTCATTTGATAAATATTACGGCTTGCAATAACTACTTCAATTTGTCATTTAATTACATTTCTTTAAACTTAACATCAATGATTAACTTGGCATGTTGTTAAAAAAGTTAAAAAAAAAATAAAAAAAATTGATAGACTTTGTATATATTTGTAATATATTTAGTTTCCTTAATTATTAGGTTTCCAACCCTAATACTTGTATATATTTACTTCTAGACTAGAGTTGCATTGCCCGATCCAGAAAGCTACTCTAGTGTATTGTGACAATGTGACTTATGTGAGTGCGATATATTTATCAAGCAATCCAGTTCAACATCAATACACCAAATACATTGAGATTAATATTCACTTCGTCCGTGAAAATGTGGCACATGGCGAAGTTTGTGTGCTTCATGTATCGTCCCATTATCAAATTAGTTCTATGTTCTCGTTTTAGACTTTGTTCTCATTATAACTCTATTCATATAATGTTATATCATAAAATATAAACAAAGTTTTAATGTTTAAAGTTAGAGTTACAGGAATTAAAAGGATAATTATATATATATATTTTTATTTTTTTTTGTAATTTAAGATGAGATGTATTGTAATTAACAAAATTAATAATAGTTTATTTTTTTATTTTTTTATTTTTTTGAGATGATAAATTGATAACAGTTGACAAGCAAGTAATAACTTATCCTATGCTTAAAACTAAGTGTCATATAGAATAATATATTAACATGCATATGCCAAAATAAATATGGGATTCATAGAACATTTTATTTTCATCATACACACATGTCCTTTGACAATCTTATTAGTATTAATTTAGTCAAATTATACATCATAGTGGATGATATTGACCGAAAGAAATCAAGTTACTTCAGAAATTTATTTTTACAAGAAGATATTGAATTATTTGAGACACCAAATAAGACCAGATGCAAAACACAATAATTTACTGCACTTGTGTTATATTCACCTGATTTTTACTTATTTGATCTTATCTGAACTAATAACTTGAACTTATCTGAAATTATTTGAACTTATTAGACCTTATTAAAACTTATTTTAGTTGTAATTTGAACTTGAGCAACCCTTATCAGAACATATTTTTCCTGAACTGAATTTATCTGAACTTATTAGACCTGAAATAAGAAAAAAAATAAGGTGTACAGAACGGAGCCTTACATGTTCAAGAGTGTTAACATACACATTGTTTGTGAATTCTTATATGCATCACATACGTTGATGACCATGATGGGTGCACGATCTTAAGACATTAGATCACTCTATGTCAAATTATATCATACACTGATACACCTAAATGTACAAAAGCTATGTGCATAATCGACTCATAAATCACACATTTCATACTCCAATTATGCACATTTCACAAGTCAACCTGTGTGGTGCACGCGCCAAATATTTTTTGTATTTCATAGATTTAGTGCGAGTACACCTTCCTCCCTGCGCGTGGGGCTTTTTATGCTCGATCTAAACTCTGATCCATCTCTCTCTCTCTCTATATTACCTCACTCAGCTTAACGTGCGCAGTGGGCGCAGTGTACACTTACCGGTTACCCCAACTCAAACAGATCTCTTTCCTCTCTTTCTAGACTTTATATAATTAAGCTCACTCTTAAATTCATTTTTCCCTCAACAAAATCAGAACAATTGAGCAACAATCTGGACCAAATTTCACCAAATTAAGCATCACCCATTTCAATTTAACTATCCAATTGCAATACCCACATCTCAATTCCTCGAAATTCCTCCAAGTTTTTTGGGGATTTGGCGTTTTAGGTCAACCTTAAACTGCAAAATTTGAATGTGATAAAAGAAAAACTAATCTAATGGATCCTCCATTGATAAGTGAAGGTTCATTCTCAACAGCAAACCCTTCAATGGCTGAGATTTGGCCGTTTAACGGCGGCGGCGATTCTGACGGGGGCGGAATGTTGGGGTTGAGAATGAGTAGTGGTAGTGGTGGGTTTGTGAGTAGTTTGATTGATGGGTTATTGAATAATAGTGTTGTTGGAGTAATGAATAGAGATACATCAATTGAAGAATCAACTGTCACTGACCAAAGTGGTAGTCGCGGCGGCGGAAGAAAGAGGAGAGAAAATGTTTCAGAGGATGAGTCTTCTAAGATTGTTTCCACTACTAGTAGTGGCAATGAATTGGTAATTTTCTCTTTCCTTTTATTTATTTAGTTAATTGTTGTTTATTGTAATTATGTTGTGATTTTGAAGCTTGAAAGTTTGGGCTATAATTTTATGGATGTTTATTTGGTATACTATATATGTTCATAAATAATTTGTGTTCTTAGAGTTTTGGCTTCCTTGTGTTGATAATTCAGCATTTTGTTTAGATTTTGTTTTATCTTATTTTGACTTGAGTTTGATCAATGATAGACTTTTAACTAACAAACCTTGGTGCCATTGATTTAGTCAACTTACCGAAATAAAGTTCTAGCCAAGCCCCTTGAAATCGAGGTTAAAAGAGGAACAAATGGATTTTTTCACTCCATATAGGCCATCTTTAGCTTTGTGATTTAAAGTCTTTAAACTCACATTGATCATGTTCCCCATTTGGTTCAATTGTAAGGGAGAATTTTATTACGTAGTGATAAGATGCCATATGATATGATGGTCAACAAGACTCGAACTCATTAAATTTTAAATTGATCAATGATCCACACATCTTGTTCTGTTATCGTTTTTTGAAAGCATATCACTTCAATTATAGGATTCCTATAGAACTTACATCCATGATAGTATCTTGACAATCTAGAGCACTAATGCAACACCGTTAAAAGCTCCGAAGAAGAGTTAAATGAGCATCCACATTCACAGAAGACAGCTAAATTACAGAGTATACATGCAATTTTTTGATTAATTTGATGAAATAGGAGAAGGGGCCAGAAATAGAAAAGGTTGAATTTCAGTAAAATTGGGCTGTTTCTGACCAAAATCAACCAACTATCATAGGATAAAGAGAGGGAGAAGAGAAGGTGCCAGGAACTAGAGTATAAAGAAGGGTAAAGTTATGATAACAATCGATAAGTCATCCTCTTATCGATCGTTGGTTTCTACCACTGCAGCATATAGTAAAACTATGGAATGTTAAATACGAAGTGAAGTATATTATAATAATGCATAAAATGAGTGTAAATATTCTTACAGTAGGATGCCCATTTATCTTAGTTTAGCATTCTCTCTAGTTTATCATTTGAATTTGATGAAAGATGTGTAATCCTCTTATGATGTTCTCCCTTTGTCATGAATCAGACATCCTCTATGCTTTTGGTATGAATGATAAGGGTAGGGCTTGGCAGACTAGAAACCTTTTCTTGCTTTACATAATTGCTATATTCAAGCTTTTATAAAACCTAACTTCCAAAGTCCAAACTGTCAAAATTACTGAAGGAGGTGCATTTGAGAAGATATATCATATCATTAAAGAAAGGTGATTCTTTCTTTGACATCTCAACTTTGTGACATGGAACCTCTCTTTCTTTGACATCTCAACTTTGTGATATGGAACTCTGTTTTGGTATGGTGGGAGCATTTGTTTTAGAACAGGGCTCTTTTTTGGTGATCAACACCCCCCCCCTCCTTGTGGACAGGCGTAGATGATTGTATATCCCTCTATGTTAGTCATACTCGACTACTAATGTCTGGCATAAGTACCCGTGTAGCTGTCAGACTTGGCCGAAGTGTGCAAAAGGCAAATGAGACTTTTATATGGGGATGGAGGGAGTATCAATCAGGGGTACTAGAGGTGACATGAAGGGCCTTTGCAACAAGATATAACTCACTCGCTATGTTAGGGTGGAGAGGGAGGGGCAAGGAAGATGGTGGGAAGACACAAACAGATAATGAATTGAAGCTTCCTAACCTGTTTTTTCTTAAATTCTAGGGACACGGTCAATGCTAGTTCTAGACATGCCAAAGACATTGGTACAGATTTTTGATGTCCAAAATGAAAACATTAAAGGTAAAAAATACCAATCTACTTTAGTCAATGGTAGCTTTCCACAGTTGTTCTTCTGACTTAGCTTGTTGGGATTGGATGAACTAAAACTTAGCTCTGAAAATGGCTGCTTAATCCACATTTTGTTCTTAGGACCATGTTAAAAATGATCAGAATCTTGGATTTCTTTTATATGACTTGCACCACGGATAATTAAGACAGTAGCTATGCATCTATCTCAAACAATTCACAGGTATGCAACTAAACCACTCCTTAAAGGAGACATGAAGCCGATGACTTATTCCTATCACGGACTTAGTTTGCAATTGTCTCTCGAGATCTGAATAATGAAAATTATGGTAAATCCACATTTGATAAGAATTGTGGTTTATGCAATACTCTTGTGGATTTAGGTTTTATATTCTTGAATATTGATTTGTCACCTTACTTTTTGTTTCTTTCTTGTTGTACAGAAAGAATCAAATGGTAAACGAACCAAAACATCCTCACAGGATGAAAATGGCAGTTCAAAGGCTGGAGGTGAATCAAATTCAGCAGGTGGTAACAAGCCTGCTGATAAATCAGCTGAACCACCAAAAGACTACATTCATGTCAGAGCAAGAAGGGGTCAAGCTACAGATAGCCACAGTCTTGCAGAAAGAGTAATTTTCTTCTTGCTTTTGGTGACATTTTTTTTCCCGTTGTTTTCAGTTCTTGTAGAAGATTAACTAAATTATAAACCATCAAATAAGATATGCTCTTATCCTCTTTTGTTGCAATTGAATCCTAGTCCCTTGATTTGAGGAAGAATACTCCTGTGGCTTCTGCAGCAGTTTTTACTCATTATATTTGCTTCTGGCAGGCCAGGAGAGAGAAGATAAGTGAGAGAATGAAAATTTTACAAGATTTGGTTCCTGGATGCAACAAGGTTGGTATTATGGATCAATAAATGGGTATGCATATGTCATTTAGATAATCATGTGTAATATTATTGACCTTTAATTTGAGCTCAATATATGTTCTATTTTTTAATTTCTGGGTGGTCAGCTATCTTTCCCTGAATTTTAGAAATGCTTTCACAGCTATCATTTTCTCGCGATTGAGTTTTACTTTCTTGGGCAGGTTATTGGAAAAGCACTTGTCCTTGATGAGATTATCAACTATATACAATCCTTACAACGACAGGTTGAGGTGAGTTACATCTAGATTTCTGAGAAATGTGAAGATAACCTGTTTATTAGGATCTTCTTAATCGATCAATATCTATCGTTGATTTTGTTTCATTTCTGGATCTTCTGAAAATTAGGCTTGTCATGATTCCCATCAAATTCCAATCCTAAAATTTTTTAGATGTTATATTGCTATGTTGCCTACATTTATTGTTAGCAAAGCTTACGATTTTATTGGCTTGTTGCTCACTTTTATCTTCTTTGTGTTGCATGCAGTTCTTGTCCATGAAGCTGGAAGCAGTCAATTCTGGGATGGTCCCTTCTATCGGGGGATTCCATTCAAAAGATGTAAGTTTAAAAATCTCAGTCCTTGACCCAATATCATTGCTTTGCAATTTCATCTAGTAAGACTAGTAAAAACAACCTAATCTCTTGCAATCTGTTACTTCTTGGATCTACTATATTCTTATTGAGTGTACGTGACCAACTCAATCCCTAAAGAAACTGGAGCAGTGGACTTTTTTTTTTGTCAAAGAGTTCCTTTGTAAGAGAATATGAGCTAATGGCCTGAAGTCCTGGCTGGTGATTTTTAGAAGTATATGCTATTAGCTATTTGAAGAAAATAAGTTCTCCTTTTGGGAAATTTTAATCTTTTTCCTCCTCTGACACTAAGGAATTAAGGAAGCTCGTGATACATATGCTACATGTCTTGAAACTCGTTAATCTGTGATTAACAGTCAGTGCTCATAAAGCACTTATTCAGTTGATTGTTCTGGTTTCTGAGACTTCTGGTTTAATTTACAAAAAGAGTGAATTTGGCTAGTTTCTGAGACTTCTGGTTTAATTTAAAATGCGTAAGCTTAATATCTTAGTAACACTGGTAAATTTCCAGAGGATGGAAGTCTCTATAACTCATTTCTTACTGATAATTACCTGAAGTATAATTGGCTACTAATATAATGAAATATAATGCATCTATCCAGGCTAATCAGCTAGGGATGTCCTCATTTGATCCAAGTATGATGTTGGCACAAGCTGCTAGAGAATTAGCAGCCGCAGCAGGAGGAGGAGGACCGCAATCAGAGTGGTTACATATGCAATTAGGCGGAAGTTTCGAACGAACATCATGATTCCTTGTAAAAGATCGCTTTGAAATTCACTACCTTAATCAATTATTTCACATAATCAGGGAACAACTCTACCTACATCATTCTACTGTTTGGGTGGGGATGTTTATTTCTATATTTAATTTTCCTTGATTTGTAATACAAGAATACTGCCTTCTGTAGAAAGTATTCATTGTAACCTTCAGCCCTGTTGTATGACCCTCTAACTAGTACCCAAAGACTGAAGAGTCCTAGGTTGCTGAAAGTGTTGAATCTGTATAACCGAGATTATTATGCTTCTAAGAAAAATCTTCTATTATAATGACTATTGTGAGATGTGGTCTACTAATTTGTGTGCGGAGCTGGGTTTTCTACACTCTTGAACGCAATAAGAAATTGGTTGATCTTAAGGTGGCAAAGTCGTGTATGAGACAGATTCAGAATAAAATTAGTAAGACATGGCCGACATTCTCCATACATATTTTGCAAACAACACAAAAGATTTGCATACAAATAGATTTATTTGTTGTTTCCTGTCAAAAAAAATAAAAATAAAAATAAAAAAAATAAATAAATAAATAAAATAAATAAAAAAACAAAGCTGCTCAAGCATTATATTTATTCATTTATTTTACAAATCATAAATTCAAAATGCATAATACTTCTATCCTTATATACAAACAATGAAACAATAGTAAAAAAATACAGAAAATCATCATAGTTCAATCTGACATGATCTGGGGAAATTTTTAGATCTAAAATTGGATTTTCATTTCATGGACAACGCTTGAATCAACAGTTTGGGTCAAAACATGATCAGGAATTGAAGGTTGTGAGCCAAATAGATTTGTGGGTATAATAACAGCCCCTGGATTTTTGCTATTGAAGGCTGTTTTAATTGCTGCCCTTCTCCCACATTCTTCTGAAAATGATCCCCTGGGGATCACAAACATCTGCCCCGGAAGCAAGACCTTGGAGTAGAACACGTTCCCTGTAGTCACAAACCCAGCTAGAACTTTTCCTTTGATCAGGATCAGCACCGTGGGAGAGAAGGAGCTAGCAAGAAAACTACAATGCAAAGTACGGCAGCCATGATTACGTATAGGCGAGTGTTCTGTATTATATAATGTGACATCTGAACTGAGATTAAGATGTTTTAATAACCCAATGAAACCTGACTTTGTCAAAGACATGTAAAATATATAATTATCCAGTTAGAGAGCTGAAAATGATGTTTATACAATGAAATATAACATTGCTGAGGGAAGAAAATAGAGTAAATTTCTAGCTGTATTTGTTGGCTTGTTGCAGGCTTGGTCATTTATGATGTTATTAAAGACTAATTCAACTTGTTGAACATGGAAGAAGATCATTTTGCTTATAGCTAATTTTTCTATCGCGCATCAAGTTCTTCCTGCAATCTTATACACCCAACTCGATTAGGCTATGATAGTGCTTAAGACTAAATTTATAGATACACACCAAACAGTGGTTGTTCTATCAGCTCTGCTCGTTGGCCAGTTGCTGGTAATTACACAGAAAAGTGTTATAGTCTTCAGACTTTAACAAAATATTTGATGACAAATGTCAAGAGTCACTCTGAGTCAGTGACCAGCAAGTTAATTATTGGATTAAACACAACTGAAACAATCATATGGCATAATTAGGATATACGGGTTCAGATAAAGGACCTCAAAGAACAAGGGCGTGAAGAAGCAAAGGATGAAGTTATTCTGCCGAGAATGCACAACCTCAAATTGCAAATATTCTTCCACACCAGAGATGTTAAGAAACTACACGACTGTTATTGTCCACCACCTGTGGCACATATATTGTTTTCTCATAGAGTTTCTGTTTGTCTAAAAGGTAAAAACAAAATCACAATTGTAAAACACCATGAAAGAGTAGAAATATTGCCAAGAAAAGTTGCTTAAAAGATGTATTCAGCCAAAAAAAAAATTCAAATGAAAGCCTCAACAATTTTAGTTTTACTAGCTTCAGCAAATCCCAGAGGAATAGATCTACCACTAAACTATTATCTTCCTATCTTAAGCTTTAAAATACATGATGTAAATTGCTGCCTCACTACCCGATAAAGGTCAGAAGACGAAACAAAGCACCCAGACTTTGATGAATATTGATAGATCCCAAAAAGCAACACTATACATACTACGTGCACAAGATATTGATCTAGAATTTGGGTTTCCTGGGCTTAAAGTGCTGAGAATGCATTCAAACCTTTATCGGAACTCAAGAAGTTGGTAGATTTAAACTATAGTGTCCAGAACCAGTGCCAGAGTGCATCATCTGAAAAGAGTTCACATTTACTCCATATGAGATGACAGATTTATGCTTGTGAAAATTTGATATGTACCAGGCTAGCAGCATCCAAAAATTGATGAGATCCTGTTGTCAAGATTATGCGACATTGCTGATAATTTGAGTGTCAATATATGTCAGCTGCGGTGAAACACCCCAACAAGACACCATCTATTTCTCATCCCCCGAACCTCAAAGAATTGATGCTCATAATCCTTCTTGAAAATTATTAGTATGTGATTGACAATCATGCATAAGGCACAAAATTTTCTGCCACATATACCTGAATTTGGCTAGTTTATGAGACTTCTTCTGTTCGGGTCTATTGGAATGCTCAAGCTTGGGAGTTGAAATCTATGTACCATACAATCCTACTGAGGCTTACTTAAAGGTTTATCTAGCTACTTATATAACACAAAATATGGATCTATCCAGGCTAATCAGCTAGGCATACCCTCATTGATCCAAGAGGCACGATCTTGGAACAAGCTGCAAGCAAATTAGTAGCAGAAACAGGAGGACTGCATCAGATTGGTTCTATATGCTATTAGGTGGAAGTTATGAGCGGACTATATGTTACCTGTGAAAGATCTCTTGTTTAAATAAGAATCAAGATATTAGACTGCTATCTTATTTATTTCACATAATCAGGGAACTCTGCCTACATCATTCTACTGCTTGAGTGATCGTATTACATTTTGTAATACAGTTTCAAAGATTTATACAAGAATATTGTCCTGTGGAAACTTAGCAGAAAGGAATAGTCATTGTAAGGTGCAACCTTCAGCCATATTGTATGGTCTTTTAACTAGTGAATAACAAGACTTTATCCATTCATTCAGGAAACAACCCAAAAAGTTTGCATAAAACTCAAATATATATATTTTGATGTCTTTGAGCAGGCCAGCTACTCAAAAAGATGCATCATTTATTATATTAATAAAAAAAAAAAAAAAAAATAGCTTCGATCCTTGTTCACAAAATACTGCTACAAGAATAAAGAAAATCTTCACAGTAAAATCAATTTGGAATGATCTTCCTAGTAAATTGGCGAGCCAAATTTGGATTCTATTCCATGGACAATGTTCGAATCAACTTGGAAAGTTTGGGCCAAAACATGATCAGGAATTGAAGGTTGTGCACCAAATAGAGTTGTGGGTAAAATCACTACCCCTGGATTCTGGCTATTGAAAGCTGTTATAATGACTGCCTTCTTATCTCCTACATTCTTCTGAAAATGGACTAACCCCCTGGGAATCACAAACATCTGCCCCGGAAGCAACACCTTGGAGTAGAACACATTCCCTGTAGTCACAAACCCGACTAGGATTTTTCCATTGATCACCACCCCACTTTCAGTTGCTCGTGGGTGGGAGTGAGGCGGGTTCAGTCCATTAGGAGCTAGATCAACCCGGTTCATTGAAAGTCCAAGCATGTTTAGGGCAGGAAATGCGAGAACATTTCCTTGTGTGACACCGACTCCAAAGAGGTTCGATGTGTTGCCCTCCTTCATAAATCCATCAAAGAAGAAATCTTCGGAGGTGACATTTGAGGTAGGCTTGCATGGGAAGTTGGTAAACGAGGGAGAGGCGTTGAGGTCTGCTACACAGAAGTCCAATAAGGGATCAGGATCAGCGGCGTGGGAGAGCAAAGGAGCTAGCAAGAAAACTACGATGCATAGTATGGCAGCCATGAGTATGTTTTTAGGAGGTTGATTGGTATTATATTTGATATCTGAAGACTAAGGTTTAAGGTGTTTAAATAGCCCAATAAAACATGACTTTGTCAAGGCATACAAAATATATTAATCAATTAAAAACCTGGGAACGATGTTTATACAAAGAAAATATATCATTGCTGAGGGAAGAATCGAGTAAATGATAAGCTGTAGTTGTTAGAGACTTGGTCATTTATGATGTAATTAAAGACTAATTCAACTAGTTTAACATGGAAGAAGCCCATGTTTTGCTTAAGATTTATTTATCTGATTTTCACACACCAAATCATCTTAGACAACTTCAATTCATGAGATAATAATTAGGAGACGGAGGGAGTATGAGAGTATTAGGTACTCTTGGCTAGTATTGTACTCCCGGGCTAGGCCCAATCTAATAAATGAGATTAAAACTCAACTAACGAAATTAAAGTCACACAAGACTAAATTTGACAAAATAACAACTTAAGAAAAGCAAATAACATGAAACTAACTCCATACATAAAATAAAGGTGGATGAAAAAAAATCAAATCATTTCATTTTTACTCCATCGCTTTCACTTTCTCTATCTCCATTTGAACTAGTCCTGTAAAATTCTTCAATGGTGTCCGTTGAAGGCCAAATTCGACTTTAAGATCATGTCTAAAATCAACATTAATTACCAAAATGTGCATCAAGAGAAGCATTTGTTTAATTTTATAAATTATTTCGCAATTGTACATTTGTAACATGAAATTTGCAATTAAAACATGCACATATGGTAACCAAATTAAATGATAATGAAGAACTAGATGAAAGAATAGCATATTTAAAAACAAAAATTATAGATAAGTTTCTCTAAATAATCAAACCTATGTTACTTTGCAAAAATATTTTTTTTCAAACTAGATATAAGTGGAATTGACAAATTTATTGCGTTTTACTATAGAATATATTTCAAGAATGGATGAATTTAGTTGAATTTTGGTTCCAAACTTGTTATTTTGATCAACTTTGTCTCTAGGCTTGTGTCATTCAGCGTTGAATATTATGTTATTTTATTGTGAAGTCAGATCTATATTTCTAAAATGTGTTTTGTTATAATTTTTCTTTGAATCATGTTATTTTACTTAATATCTAATGTTATTCTAGTTAAAATCTAATGTTATTTTGGGCTTATCATGTGTTGTTTTTGTCTTTGGAAGTAGACTTGTCTTGACAGAATTATTTCATGTTTTTCTAAAACACCATTTTTTTTTTTAATTTTGTTTCATATAAATGATGATATTTTGTTTTAAACCTAATGTTATTTTAATAAAGTCCTAATTTTTTTGTTGTCTTGTTATTTTAATGTATCCTTTTGTTATTTTACTTAACCTTTGAGTTAAGTTATTGTTATTTTGTTTTATATCGTCTAATGTTATTTTCAGTGGAAGTTTAAGGTATTTCAGTTATCAAGTTATGTGTTATTTTAGGTTAAACTTTGTGTTACTTTGTACACAAATTGATGTCATTCTATTTAAAGTCTATTGTTATTTTGTTTTAAATATGTGATATTCAAATAAACCATATCTTATGTTATTCAATTTTAAACTATTGCTGTTTTTGCAATTAAAAAATAAATAATTAAAAAATAAATAATAAAAAAATAAAACACTATTATTATTTTTAAGTTACAGATTTTGCAATTGGAAGAAAAAATTGATTGAATTCACAAAAATTGAAAGAAAATAGAGAAAACTAAGTATAGCAGGAAGAAAAAGGAAAAAACAAGGAAGAGGAAGGTATAATAGAGGGAGCTGACTATATACCTAATGTCCAAGAAAATAAATGACATCATTTGACCCTGGAGTATCATGCTCACGGTACTCCATGAGTAGGGTAGAAGGGTAGAAATTGCGAGATGTAGCGGTATCACATAAGGGGTACTTGATTATATTTTTTTTTTTTTTAAAAAAAACTATGCTAAATATTTGATTTTATTCTTCAAAAAAATAATAATTTTAGTGCAAAAAATTGGGTACTCATACACGGTAAAAAAAAAAAAAAAGGAGTAGAAATAGTAAAAGTGAAAATTGAGGAAGCTAAATTTGTTATTTTTTATCGAGGCATTTGGTTTGTAAACTGATATGGGGTTGGAATTAGGAATGAAACCACGTGAGTTTGGTATAATTATGGATTAAAGTTCAATTAGTGTTAGATGATCTACCGAGGCTTTCTTCATTCATCAGGAAACAAAACATTAAGTTTTTTTTTTCTTTTTTTTTTAGGACAACAAAACAATAAGTTCGTATACAACTCAAATATTTTTTGATGTATGTATCTTGCCAAAGAGTATGCCAGCAGCTAAAAAACTACATCATTTATTGAATTAATAATAAATATAATATGCATAAAAGCTTCAATCCTTATTCAGTTATTCACGTATAATATCGTAAAAAGAATGAAGGAAATCTTCATAGTAAGTTTTTCATAGTATATATGATCGTTCCAAATTTCAGAATTTGGATTCTATTCCGTGGACAACGCTTGAATCAATTTGGAAAGTTTGTGTCAAAACATCATCTGGAATTGAAGGTTGTGCATCAAATAGAGTTGTGGGTACAACCACTACTCCTGGATTCTGGCTATTGAAAGCTGTTATAATTACTGCCTTCTTATTCCCCACATTCTTCTCAAAATGAACTAATCCCCTGGGGATCACGAACATCTGCCCTGGAACCAACACCTTGGAGTAGAATACGTTCCCGGTAGTCACAAACCCGACTAGGACTTTACCACTGATCACCACCCCACTTTCGGTTGATCGTGGGTGGGTGTGAGGCGGGTTCAGTCCATTAGGCGCAATATCAAGTCTGTTCATTGAAAGTCCAAGCATGTTTAAGGCGGGAAATGTGAGAACATTCCCAGGTGTGACCTTTGATCCAAACATATTTGACGTGTTGCCTTCCTTCATCAGCCCATCGAAGAAGAAGTCTTCGGAGGTGACATTTGAGGTAGGCTTGCAAGGGAAGTTGGCAAACGTGGGGGAGGAGTTGAGGTCAGCTATGCAGAAGTCCGACAAGGGATCAGGATCAGCAGCGTTGGAGAGAAAAGGAGCTAGCAAGAAAACTACAATGCAAAGTAGGGCAGCCATGAGTATGTATTTTGAAGGGTGTTTTGTATGTCTGAAGAATTAGATTAAGGTGTTTATATAGGCTATGTTTGCGACTTTGTCAAGGACATCCAAAAATATATTATTATTCATTAAGACTGCTGCAAATGATGTTTACAACGAAAATTTAGCATTGCTGAGGGAAGAACATAGGTAATCCCTTGATTTTGATATGGTAAGTTGTAGTGGTTGGAGACTTGGGAGGTAAACGACTCCTTCAACTTTTTGAACATGGAAGAAGCTCATGTTTTGTTTAAGATTAATCCAGCTTTCACACACTAAACTCAATTAGTCACAAAAATACATAAGTTACTATCAATACGTATATTATCCGATATATGAATAACAATTTCCACTGTCACCCAAAAATTTTGGCTTTTAGCAGAAGGTCATGTATAAGTTCTCTCCTTGTAGCATGCTCAGACGAAACCACATTGTTTCTCAGCTCAAATGAAAAAGAGCAATGAAGAGGGTACTATACCAGTTAAAAAGGCTATGTAGCCAGGGTATTAAACAACCCAATCAAGAAAGTTTGATAGAATACATTTCATTTTCAGAGATTAAGCATAAGCAACTTTGAATACATCAGGGTCCGAGACTACTACCTGACGAATAGATTGAGATACTGGCGCCTCAAACGTCATATGTCATGCTTTATCCTGAAACATTATACAATTTAATTTATATGGTTATTACTCCGTTCCGGTCAAAGTGTTGCATTTAGAATAAACAGAGTGATTATAAAAAAGCAACCGCTGGTGAATATGGTGACAAGGATAAAACTTGATACCTTTGAATTGCAGCTGAGCTTATGGGAAAAATACCAGTTGGAGATACTAAAGCATCCACAAAAACATCATTGGGAGTGATCAGAATGACTCCATCATCCAAGATTTGAACAGAATATGACAGAGCAACTACAGAACAAAATCAGTGAATCAATACCAAAGATCTTTACGCAAATTTCCTAACAAATATAATAGCTGATATAGGGAGGGGTATAAAACATACCAAGCAGTGGTTGTTTCCAGTTCTTCTCATTGGCAAGCTGTTGGTAGTTCCTCAGAAAAGTGTCATAGTAACTTCAAAAGGTTGCAACAAAAAAGATTAGAAGATTATTAGCACAACCATCCAACTTAAGATTACACTCTGTAGCTCTCCTATTTCACCCGTGTAGTCTATGCCAATGGAGCTTCCTTTTGAAAAATGCTAGTGAACACCTGTGTTACATGGACTCGGATACCCATGTCCGACATGGGTATGTGTCCAAGCGTCCGACTCGGCTATTTTGTGAAAAAAGTCCATGGTTTTGAATCAAAAGTGAAGCGTCCAAGTGTCATACCCATGTCCGAGTGTCAAGGGTCTGACATGGGTACCTGAGGTGAAATGAAGAGTCCATGTAACATAGGTGAACACATAGCGCTATTTTCATTTTTATCTTCCTTGATAAGAAAGGGAGGGTGGAATTTTAAAGAAGCATACTCAGAGAGACGTGCTGGAGTTCACACCTCACGTAATAGTTTGTAAGACAAAAATTAGCAAAACCAATCAAGAAATATCACTTTAGGCACTTGAAGTTTTTTCACATACCCTCCACCACGGCCTAAGCGTCTTCCAGATTTGTCAAATGCAAGTCCTGGAGAAAGGGATAATATAAATCAACTAAAAAGTTAACTTTCAATTTCAGCAATGTGGACATGAACAGAGCAAGTGATAAGCTATATTACCAGGTAAGAGCACCAGGTCAATTCCTTCGCTTGCATGCATAACTGCAACAAGAGATCATTTATCCATATCCAAGAAAAGCAAAAACCAAAAGATGCTAATGGCCTACTAAATACAGCATATATATAAAATGAAGAATTTTTTTACCACATATACTTATGCTACACAAATTAGATTTATACACCTGTCCCCCTTACATCAACTTTCTCACTTGAACACCATGAATATATCCCTACTCGTGGAACCAAACAAGAATGATACGGACATTTGACTTCTTGCTTTTATGTTAAAACTGATAATTTAGTAAAGAGTGGATTTGAGACATGAGAAAACCAAGTATGAATATATACAGCTGAACGAAATGTAACAATATACTTGGACTAGGTACTGAAGCGAATGAATCATTATTATTCATACCCAATACAGAGCTGTAGAAAAGCTAGCAGTTAAAACCATCAGTCAAACCAAATTACAGTAAACTTCATGACATAGATACAATGAGTTCATTCAGTTAAATGCCACGGATAAGTCACCTAAACAACACAGCATATAAAAACAGAATCGAGTCAATAACAAGCTAGATATATAAGCTACCATTTTCACGTTGATTTCCTCCACTATCTACAGGAGCAGGTTCCAGAATGTCCATTGAGTTTGCAATTAGATCATCCATGCTAGAGATGTTGAGCATCCGAATATAGCTGTTCTTGTCCTCCACCCTTGGCACATAAAGCGTTTTCCCTTCGAGTTTCTGTTCATCTGCAAGCCAAAACTAAAGTTTACAATTGTCAAAAGAAAATGAAGGGTATTGAACCAGTGCTTTTAAGACTAGGAAAGCAGATTCACCAAAAACCAAATAAAAGATAGAGTACATGTTAAATTTCCACATTAATGGTCTTAATAGGTGCCAATGGTAAATTTTATGAATGCTGTCACTTCCAGACCTTAAAAGACAAATTATTAATCAAGTACGAATGAACATTCTTGATTAATTTCACATCATTGACCTTCAGCAAGAATCATTATACTTCCAAATACTAGAGTTCTTGAAGTTAAGATTTAAGGGATAAAGTACAGAGCCAAACCTTTGTCTGAAGTCTGTAAAATCTTTGCCAAAACTTTAGATGTATCAACTTCTCGTAAGGCACGGCAGCTTATATATGCACATAACCTTTTGCTAGATTTAAACCATGGAGCATCCAGTACCAAACGCTGAATTGCATCATCTAAGTAGAAAGTCAATTATACAAAATACGTGAGTCAGGTAACAGTAACCTATTAATGTGATGACAATTTATACATATGAAATTCAGAAAAAGGACGGCAGCAGGAAGAAGCAAGCAACGGTGGTAAAACTCTGTCGTCAAGCAGTGAAACCCCACTATTGCAGATATTTTCAATGTTAAACCACATCACTATGCAGGACAAATATCAGAATGGAGCACTCCTCAAGTTACTCATTTCTTCTCCCATAAAATTACAATGAGTTTATACCAGAGCATTGAATTTTCTAGGTTTTGCAGGTCATAGTTACTCAAGAATTCTGTGCAGTGATCAAGAGGATCATTATAAGTTGAATCATCACACCATGCCACAAGGACCAACCTGTACCAAATATCTTTAGCACGTAATAGTAACAAAGAACCAACCCACATTGATTATATGAGATTAATCCAGAGAATGCTACAACATATATAAACATAACTTTATCAAAGATCTCACCCAGTTTGGTTTATTCTGAAATGATGCCTAAGGAGATAATTTTTGCATAGGGATTAAAGAACCTTCTTCAACTTATAGTGCAAACCAAAGAGGTGACTTCTTCTTGTATTCTTTCATTTGTCAATGAGAAATAAGAAGAGTGTATTTGTGTTTGGTAAGCATGAGTTTGCAACTAGGCTGCACTTTTAGAGTAAATTTAGAGCTTTTCTGATTCTAGGAATTAAATAAAGATCTTTATGTGTTTCTATTACTTCTTGCAAGAGAAAGACTGAGGTGCAACCAAGTAGATCATGATGTGCTTACAATAACTTCTATCCACACACTTTCATTATTACCAAATGGAACCAGAATATGACCAAACCCCTCATCAAAAAGTATAATTTTTCAAATTGATCAAACTAGACTCCAGTGCTGGTCCTAAATGAAACTATGCACAGTAATAAAATTGATGTAATCAGAAAAAATTTATCGACGTTATCACGAATTTAACCCCTCCCCTCCCCCCCTCCTCCCCTCTATTGACCATATTATGCAGTTTGCGCTAACATGGATACAATAGTGCTTCCAAAAAGTTTGCCATACACAACAAAATTAATGCTACTCTATACTTCCTTCATCTAGAATTAATAGTCACATCAATATTGTTATTCGAATTAGTAATTCTGACCGGGGTCATCAATGCTCCCCATTCCTTCACTACTTAAAGATCAGGTTATCACCTCACAAAAAGGTATTTTACGACTCCCTCCTACTGTCCTACATGACCGAAACGAGTGCAATTTTATTAAATTGTTCCTCTAATATTCTAAAAAAAAAAAAAAATTCTCTTGGTAAATGATCCAATAATGTGTTCATCCAACTAATATTTACTAATTCAGAAACAAAGTTTAATCACATTCAGAATTACATACTCACATGATCCTTCCAAAATACCCAATTCCTACCCCCAATTAACACTCCACTCAAATTCCCCAATCTAATCATCAATACACCAACAAATTAAGCAATTCTACGAAAACCCCAATTCACAAATACAATCAAATCAACAAGAATTGAAGAAAGATTAGAGTTTTTTTAATACCTTCCATGGCGTGGTGAGAAGGGTCCATTTCCTTGAGGGATTTACGAACTTTGGATCGAATGAGGCTGCTTGAAAATGGGGTCCAGTTCAGTAGCAGAAACATCGCCGGAACTGCCAATTTTTACACCGTCAGCGGCGGAGGAACTCATTCTGAGGGAGGAGAGAGAGGAAGATGGAGGCCGTCCGGCGCGGCTGCACGGGCTGAGTAAGCGAAAGTGTGCACGGATGGTGGAGGGAAAAGGAAAGGGTCATAAGTTTTCTTCGTTGACTTTTTCCTTTGAAAGTCTCCCGATTGTGTTCATTTTCTTTTTTTGTTTTAGGCCCTTTTACCAATTTATAATTTTCAATTGTTAGAATTTATACTTATTGATAATTAGAGATATTATTGATCAAATATTATCATTTGACATACGTGCCGAAAAGAAATGGAGCAAGTATTTAAAAACGGAGGGAGAAATATGTAAAGCGAACTGACTACATTGAGATAAAAAAATTTCAGAAAAAAAATGGAGGAGAGAGAAAGTGGGGGAGGGAGGAAAAGAAGAATTTGTCAGAAGGTTAGATAAAAATGGAGGATTGAAGGTGGGAAGATGGAAAGAGAAAAAATCGAGGGAAAAAATGAAAATATAGGTCAAAAT